GGTCCGCGAAGCCGGCGGCGGCGGGGAGGCACGGGGTCCGGATACCGGCCAAGGCCCTGCGTTCCTCACCCATGAGGACGTCTCGGTCTCTCTCCTCTTCCCGTGACTCCATCCCCGCCCCAGGCACCGTGCTCACTGGCCGCTGCTGGGTTCTTGGACCACGAGGGCTCCATATGGAACCTACCAGAATCCGTTCTAGACCCGTGGGCCTGCCCCGGGGGAGTCACATGAGTTCTGCCCGGCGAAGGCCTTGCAGTTAAGAAGTTGGACTCAGGAATTAGATTGCTGGCTCCATAGCTTACTTCCATTGCATACGGGCCAGTTCACTTCAACCAAATGCTTTGTCTCTTGGGTTGCAGTTTCCACAGTTGTGGTAAATGATACCTACTCGTGAAATGCTTGTGAGGATGCATTCAGAGAGTGTATTAGCAAAGCATTTAATACACTGCCTATCACATCAGTTAAGTATCAGCTATGATTGTTAGTCAGCAGTCATAAAGTTAGTCAGTAAAGAAGGGTATTGGTCACCTGTGTGTTTAGGGAACCCCGTAGGTGATTATCCCCCCAACCCCACCCCACCTCCAGTGATTATTGAGTCTAGCAAATGAGTTAATATGGAGGATTCTTAAGTCAGTGAGTAAGAAGATGAAATTTTTGTTTAGAAAAGGTAGTGGCGACCTATACTTAAGTCTGTTTCTGCCAAATAAACTAGAAATGATGGGGGCCAGAACTAAGAGAGTGGCAAATTCTGGAGATGGGAAGAAGGTGAAATGATAAAGCTGACAAGATGGGTAGGGAAAGTCAGCAGGATGCTCAATTTTCTGGCTTGAGCATTAAGGATGGTGCCATTGGGGGAGCGGGGAGACCCCAGCATGAAGTTGGGGCAATAATTAAGAGTAGTTTTGAACATGTAGAAATTGAGGTCTTCGGGCCATCACAGGAGAGATGGCCAGTTGTTATTTCTATATGAAACTGCAGGAAAAGTTGGGCTGGAAATGAGGTCCAGGTAAAACCCAAGTGAATGATGTTATTAGAGGAGGATGGGGCAGAGATTGGTAGCAAGATGTTTAGCTGCCGTTTGCAGCCTTAAGAGCTGATGGAGCTGTGAGTCCTATGAGCCTGGGTCCCTGAGAGTTTTGTGGAGCAGAGATGTTACACCAGCCCTGGACTGCCTGCCTTTGGCTGTTTACAAGAAAGAAATAATTTTCTATCTTGTTAAAGCCATTGTTACTTTGTGTTTTTCTGTTATTTGAAGTAGAAGACAGTCTTATCAGATGCACGGACCAAGGCTAAAACAATCACTCAGCCTTTCATAATTGTCTTTCAGATTCATTCTCAGACACTAAGCTCAGATAGCATATGCCCCTTTAGACACAACCTTTTTCAAACATATATTTGTCCTCTTCAACAGATACTAGCTTTTTCAGACCCCCCCCCCCATATACACTGACTTCTAATATACCTCCCAACCTCTTTCTGTGAAAAACACACTAGTCTCATACTGATACACTGACCTCATATCCTCATTTTCCTACTACACCATTTGCTAACACAAAAACTTGGTCCTTTAGGTACCCATTGACACCATCTACACACACCTGCTTCATTTATCACTTTTTTTTTTTTTTAATCCTCATCTGAGGATATTTTTTCCATTGACTTTTTAATTTTTTTAATTTTATTATTTTAGGGAGAGTGGAGAAGAGGGAGGAGGGAGGAAGGGAGAGAGAGAGAGGAAACAAGGATGTGAGAAACATCAATGGGTTGCCTCCTGCATGTGCAGGGAATGGAGCCTACAACCAAGAATAACCATTGAGAAATATCAGCCAGGCCCATTTATCACTTTTTGACTCGCACTGTATCACAGCTTAAGGTGCACACACTGACCCCTAACTCACATCTTAGACCTTAGATTTAACTATCCATATCCTCAAGTGCACATATATGTATTCACTCCTTTATTCCTTTAGATACACACATTGACCCTTGACAAACCTCATTGCCATCCTCAAGCAGATGTGCTTATTCCCTTATTCGTAAACATCTGTTCTCCTTTATACTTTGAGAGAAAGGATGCTAACCAGTAATATGCTGGTAAGTGTTTAACAACCTCTCCAGGTGGGACAGGAGGCTCCAGGTGAATGCAGGGCATTGGATTGTCATGGTATAAATCCTCTATTGATGGCCAATTTCAAGCTATCAGTGGCTTTACAGCCTGCTCTCAAAATTCCTGACAATTTAACAATGGCTCTCAGAAGCTCGTGGCCACAGTACACCATGAATACTGACTGTAACAGATGCCCTCACTTGCTTTAAATGACTCACCGGCTTGCGGCAAGGTGGCTGGTAGGATAGGCTTTTAATTCTCTGCCTCATGGAGGCAGTGTAGAACATGGTTAGCAGCTATCATGGTGTTATCTTAAAGGGTTGTGATGAGGCTTTCAATGAGATCATCATGACTTTTAAATGATGTTTATAAATTTGAACAACAAAAAAAATAATTTAAAAAAACTTCAGCCCTGACAGAATCGCTCAGTTGTTAGTGTCAGCCTAGGTTGTGAGTTCGATCCTCGGTCAGGGCATATATAAGAATCAACCAATGAATGTATAGATAAGTGGAGCAACAAAATGATTTAAAATATATATATATTTTATTGATTTTGTACAGAGAGGAAGGGAGGGGGGTAGAAAGTTAGAAACATTAATCTGCTGCCTCCTGCACACCCCCTACTTGGCATGTGCCCGCAACCGAGGTACATGTCCTTGACTGGAATAGAACCTGGGACCCTTCAGTCTGCAGGCCGAAGCTCTATCCACTGAGCCAAACCGATCAGGGCTCTGCTCAACAAAATGATTTTTCTTTCTCTTCCCTCTCTCTAAAATAAGTAAATATATTTTTATTTTTAAAAGAATAAAAAAAATACTTTAAAGTTTAAAAAATGTTTTTAAAATGTATTTTATTGAATTTATACAGAGAGGGACAGAGAGTTAGAAACATCGATGAGAGAGAATCATCGATCAGCCTCCTCCTGCACACCCCCCACTGGGGATGCGCCCGCAACCAAGGCACATGCCCTTAGCCGGACCCTTCAGTCCGCAGGCTGATGCTCTATCCACTGAGCCAAACTGGTTTTGGCTGAAAAAAATGTTTATAGGAGATTGAGCACAATGCCTGCCCCATACCAAGAACATTGCATAAAATATTTTAAAATAACCGTTTCTGATTTAGTGATTTCAAGAGATACCCAAGAATTCAGAAATCTAGATTCAAACTTCTCCCCAAGACATTCGGTACTATCATGGAGAATCATTAAAATACATCCTCTGAACAAAGGCATGCTCTAAATTGTGTGGTACACATTCAGGAGTTTATAGAGGAGAGGAAACCAAATATAGGAGAGGAAACCAAACTGACAGTGCTTAGGCCAATTCAGCTCTCAGAAGAGGGTTGTTTGGCACCAGAAAGATTTTAGGCGAACATGTCTCTTCCATTTCTCCAGTTCCCATCCTTCCTGCTGTCTTACACCCTCCTCATGATCATTTGTTACTGGCCCAGACCTTTAGCCATCCTGCTTGCCACTCCCTGATTTAAACTAATACCCTTTTCAACTAAGGGTTAGGTGTGTGGGTAATAATAACAAAGGTTAACTTTTATTGACCACAAAGAAAGAAACTAGTTTGCTAACTCACAGAGCTAGTAAGTGCTTTGAATCTAGGTGTGTTTGACTCTAGTAGTCTACTAAACTATGAGTAGATCAAGGAGGGCATTCCAGGGAAAGGTGACCCGAGCTAGGGAGAGAAGGTATATCATCTCTGTGGATGCAGGGCATTGGAGAAGGCAGCAAGCTGAGGTGGGGAAGGCTCTGAAAATGGGAGGTAAAGGTACTGACTTTTGGGTATATTGAGTTTGCCCACTTTGCTCCTCCCACCGTCCCCACCACCACCAGCCTAGTATAAACCTGGAATCCTGCAAAAGCCTCTTTACTGGTCTTCCTCTTCCCCTTTCATCCCTAATCATCTCAATATACTAGTAATTCTTTCTTAAAAATATATTTTTAATGATTTCAGAGAGAGAGGGAGAGGGAGAGATAGAAATATCAATAATGAGAGAGAATCATTGGTTGGCTGCCTCCTGCACGCCCTCCACTGGGAATCAAGCCCACAACCCGGGCATGTGCCCTTGACCAGAATGAAGGGACCCTTCAGTCCGCAGGCCGACGCTCTATTCATTGAGCCAAACCAGCTAAAGGGCTATACTATAGTAATTCTTACTTTCACCAGTGTGATCGTTTAGGGAATGCAAATAGATCCTCTGTGACTTGACCCTGTTTAAAATCCCTCTCAGACTTGTCCTTGCACCCAGGGTAAAATCCAAAAGCTCTAACATGGCCTCCGCCCACCTGTCAAGACCTGCCTGTCCTCTTCTCCCTATTGCCCATGTTACTGTAATAATAACTCTGGTTAATATGAAGGCTCCACTCACTCTTAGTCTGGCCATTTTTATCCTTCAAATCTTATTCAGCTTAAATGTCATTTTCTCCAAGAGGCCCTCCTGACTCCACTTAGATACGGTTTCTCTGTCCTCTCTCATAACAACCTCCTCTCTGCAGAACTCAGCATGCTACGTGATCGTTGTGTGTGTGTGTTTACAGATGAAGGTCTGTCTTCATCACCAGCCTGTCAACCCCTCACAGGGACAAGGATTGTACTGGTTTCCCTCATTGCTCCACATGCATGTTGAGCACAACCCTGCGTATGTTAAGTTTCCAGTAAGTGTTTACAGAATAAATAGATGAATTAACAGGTGGGTCAGAGCCATATCTTCTTTCTCTTGGGTGGTACAGGGCACATAAATGTGCTCAGTAGACATTTGAAAATATTTTGACAATGGGCACAAAGATTTATTTCAGCTTAAACTTTATTGATTTGGCTTGTCTAGGTACCCAGGAGCTGAGTCAGGGAAGGGCAGAGTCCAGTCCTGAGCGGGGGTTTAGCCAGAGTCACTGAATCCTGTGGAGAGGAGAGAGAGGAGGGGACGGAGGGTGGTTATCAGCCTGGAATCAGCAAAGTAAATTTATCCTGGCACCCAGCCATAGTTCAACCGCTCCTACCTCCAGAGCACCTTTCTAATGATAAATAATCAAAGTGATTCAAAGAGCACGGAGCCTGCGACCCTGACTTTCTCATACCCTCTTCTCTATTGCCGTGGTCACATTTCCCTCACCTTCTTATCCTCCCTCAGAGAGTCCTCCTACGTTTGTGCCCTCAGTCCTCCCCAGCTCCCCAGCATGGAAGTCTCCATCAGCGGTCGCCAACTGGTGGTCCATGAGGTCCGAAAGGTTGGCTACCGCTGGCCTAAATGTCTTTGGTTTCTGTGCCTGGGTATCTGCACTCGGAATGAGTGTCCTGTCTCACCCATTAGGTGGATGGGTCTCTCATGGTGTTCAGCTGTCCCTTTCCTCTAGGTCAGTGGTCGGCAAATTCATTAGTCAACAGAGCCAAATATCAATAGTACAACGACTGACATTTCTTTTGAGAGCCAAGTTTTGTTTTGTTTTTTTAAAAAACTTAAACTATATAGGTAGGTACATGTTAGAAACTTAATTAGGGTACTCCTTCAATTGCACTGTACGTGCGCGCCTGCAAGTAGTATTTTATGGAAGAGCCAAAGAGCCACATATGGCTCCCGAGCCACGGTTTGCCGACCACTATTCTAGGGCATAAATGGATCCTAATAGTGATATGGATCCAATGACCACTGAGACCAGCAGCAGCTACAGGGAAGGGCATCATGCCTCCAACTACAGGGGCTCCATCCCTGGGAAGGTGCCACCGCACCAAGGGACAGAGGTGGAGCTGAGGACAGGATGGGCATGTCAGCGGGGTGGGCAGGGAGGGGAGAGAGCTCTCACTTGGAGGAGGTTGAGAAAGAAGGGCAAGCAGTACTAAAAGCGGCCCCCATTACTGAACTCTTACTATCTACAGAGGTTGCTCTTGGCCTTTTCCTTACGGTATCTTATTTATAATAAAACCCACAGCAGCCCCGTGAAGTGGTTTCAAGAGTGCCCGATTTTCAAGAAAACAGTGAAGTTCGGGGAGCCTGAGATTGGGCTAGCCCATGTTGGGGTGAAGATTCGAACCTGCGTCAGACCCCAATACTCAAGCTTATAACCACGACACAAGCCTCCCAAAGCGTCCCCTCTGCCACCTGGGCCTGCAGAGCTCCGTCTGATCCACCACCCAGGCCAGCAGCTCTTGGAGCAGTAAGTCCTTCAGCAGATCCTCCTCCCTGGGCTTGGTGGGTAGGGAGCTGCAAAGGAGAAAGCCCAGGCGGGCTGCTTTAGCCCGGGCCCCGCCCAGAGAGAGTAAATACGCGGCCAGGACTCCCACGGAGGGGGTGAGGGAGGGAGTCAACACAGCTGCCTCTGGGTTCCCTCAGCTTTTAAAACGCCAATCCTATCTGCCTGCCAATCTTCACCACAGCAAAGCCAAACCGAATTGTGGTGGGGGACATCCCCCCCCTCCAAGAGATTATCGGGGGGACGTTCGCTCTTCGTAATGATCTGTGCCATAGATTCCTCAGCCTCCTCAGAGGCGGGCAACTGACTTCAGGGCACTGGCCGTGGGACAGGATGGGCCCAGGCCCACAGATGTCCTTCCCGGTGGGTGGCAGGGAGAAGTGGGGAAGCCGGTTCCTGAGGTCTCTTTAGCTGCCCCTAACTACACACAAAGTCATCCATCTTAGAAACCCCGGCCCCATACCCCTCCCAGGCACCCCGCCCCCATCCCGCCCAGACCTCTCCCCTAAGCTCAGGCTGACCTCTGAGAGTTCAGGAAGACCCCTCTTTGAACTCCGAGTGGAAGGGGCTGCTTATCTGGGGCCTGGCCCTGCTCTGGAGTCTGGGAGCGGGAACAATGAGGTGGGGGTGGGTCAGGAGGCCCCACACCCTCCTTCCCCTGTGGGCTGACTCACCCCTGCTGCTCCCTGGCCGCCTCCTTCCTGTTAGATTGATGGGCCAGCTCTAGGGCCTGGGCCTCCCTCTGAGTGATGTTGTGTTTCCAGCTGGTAAGATAAGGATTAGGGAGTGGGTGGCAGCACAGAGGGCACCTCTTTCTCCCCTCAACCTCCTCACCGTTTGTCTTCAGCTGCCGGGGAACAGCTTTCCAGAACCTACCATGCCAACCAAGCAGTGAGGGCAGGGAGACATTTGACAAAGAGAAGGAAGTGGGACGAGGGCAGTTCATTCTATTTCCCGAGTCTGAAGAGGCCACCACCAAAAAGTCATTGGCAGCAGCTCAGCTAGCCCTGCCTTCACACACACACACACACACACACCCGCCTCCTCGGTCAGCCCCCCACATCTCCCCTGACCTTCCCCTTGGGAGAAAAGGGTTGGGAGGTTGCCCTAATCCTGCCCCCACACTGGACCGCTGCCCAAGGCAGGACCGCCACGCAGTCCAGCTCCCTATCGTGGCTCAGTGAAAGGCGCCACCTGGAGTTATGCATCGCAGGGCCCTGTGGGCCGCCATGGCCCTGGTCTGAATGCGGGAAGGGAGCCGGAGGCCGGGGACAGGAGGTGACTCACTCATTCTTCTTCCCCTGATGTGCCAGCAGCCAGTCCACGAAGTCTTGTTGGCGGATCTTGTCCATGGCGATACTGTAGTCACTGATGAAAGTCCCCTCGGCGTACCTGCGGCCTCGAGGTGTGGAGCCTCTGACCTTCAGGTGGACTCTGAGGGGCAGGGAGGGGAGAGGAGAAGCCGGGGTGCCATGAAGGGGCAGGCGGAGGGGTTCACCATCCCGTCACACGTGACTGTCGCTGGCAGGAGGCCAGCATGTGAACATGAACCAGCCCATTTCGCGGGGGTCCGTTTTTTGTGGAGACACCCTCTTGGCTCTGCATTGAGCCCGTTGGACTTTATTTTCAGCAGAAAGGCTCACTTCCTGCCTCGTTAGTGTGTGTGGCTTCGGCTTCTGGGCGAAGAAGGTTCAGAGGGGCCCCTGGTCCCAGAGGCCTGGCTCCCAGGGCCTCCCTGTACTCCTCTCGCCCCGGCCTCGCCTGGTTTAGGCCTTTGGTTCCCGGTCACCGCTGACAGCAGCGAGCCCCTGAGCGGGAGGCAGGGCCTCTCACAGCCCTTTAACACGTACACTCTTTCCATCCTCACGACACCCCAGGAGCAGATTCTACCACACCCCCTTTTGGTGAATGAGGAAACCAGGGAGCAGAGAGATGGATGTAGCGCTTGGCATAGGCGGCAGATTCAAGGTTCGCCCCGGGCAGCCCGGGCCCAGGTCTATGTTCTCTGACAGCCTCTGACGCCGGGCCTGGGTTTACATCACTGAACTTACATGAGCCTGTGCTGTCCTTGCGGCCAACAGTGCCCAGCACGTTACTCGGAGAGGTCTCTCCCGGTCCCCAAACCACAGGAGCCCCCTGCGGTGCTCATGCCTAGTGCTCCCTGCTCTTCCTCACAGAACTCCTGGGAGTCTGCAGCTCGCCTGGGCGATTCTCTGTCTGTCTTCCCCTTGGCCCTGTACGCACATGTGGGCCACTCCTCACGTACATCTCCTGCTCTTGTACATGGGGCGAGGGGGGGTCCTTTATCACGTTAGATGACTTGATGCTCGCCGGAATGAATGGTTAAGGGAGGTGTACTCATCTGCTTCAGATGCTTAGCCACTGAGAAGGTCTTCCAGAGGCCTAACCAGTGGCTCATGAGAAATCCTCTCTGCTCCTGTCCTCACTCTGCTCTCTGCTAGGCTCCTGGCAGAGTTTCCCCTGGAGCCTCTTTCCTCTTGGCCCAGGATTCCTTCTTTCTCACGCCCCCAAGACCAGAGCCCTGTCCTCCCCCCCCCCCCGCCCCCCTGCAGCCGGCCCCTCCCTCCTCTGCACCTGGAAGGGCTCTCTTCCTTCTCTCCTAGCGTCACGGCCAGGAGCAGGGGCACCAGCAGCAGAGAGAGCTTCATGGCCACCATCTTCCAAGGGTTATTCCTGAGCTGAGAGAGAGAGCAGGAGCAGGAGGGGGGGAGCACTGTGTGAGCGAGCGGTCAGCGTGCCTCAGAGCCTTGGGGATCCCGAAAGCTGGGGGTCCTGCGTCCTGTGGTTCGGAGTTTTCCTAAGAGGCTGGCGCAGGGTCTCAGGGAGGGTGGGGAGTGCTGGGCAGTACGGCTTAGTAACTAGAAGTAACTAGTAGCTAATTAACAGCTAGTAACTAGAAGGAGCGAGGAATCTGGCCTTTTTGTTTTGTGTCTCAGTGGAGTCTGAGGGGTAGGGGGGTGGGGGAGAGTAGAGGGGAGGGTAAGGAGAGAGGGGTGCTCCAGGCAGGAGTAAGCAGTGGGATCTGTGTGCCTGGACAGCCCCCCTTCCCGGTTCAGTGGCTAGACATCATAGGCATGTGGTTTGGCAGGATTCTCCCCTCAGAGCCCTCCAGAGCTCATACCAGCCGGCCTCCCAGGCTCACGCTGGCTTGTCACCTAAATCACCACAGCCCTCTCGCCCGAAGTGAAAACCACCCGGGAACCATCCCCTCTGCCTTCTCAGACTTCGCTCTCTCCACCCAGGGAAGTTCTTTCTGAGGTCTGACCCCTCCACCCAGGGCTGCCCCCACCTCCCCTCCCCGTCATCCGGGGTCGTCAGTATAAGTAACCTTCCTCCCAGGCCCTAACAACCAAAGCTGAGGCTCGACATGTGCGGGCGGCGAGACCCCGTCTTCCTTCCTGGGCTTAAGGGAGCCCTCAGACCTCTGACGGAGAGGAGAAGAAAGGGGGTCCCAGGCCACCCCCCTCCAGGGTCCCTGTCCCAGCTGCCCTCTCACACCGCTGTCCTTTCCAGGCCTCCCAGAAGGGCAAGGGCAGGGGCGTGTCTTCCTCCTCCTCCTCCTGGCCCGCGGAGCTGCCTCTGACTCTGCCTGCAGAGCCTCCTTTATACCCCAACCCGCAGCCCCTCTGATTAGCCTAAAAGCATCTTATCTCAAGGAATTAAGCCCACAGCGCCTGCCACATTAGGGCCATTTTACACGTAATAAAGTTTCCCTTTCCACCTGAATTGTGCTAATTGGTGATTAACATTTGGGTGTATCCAGCGTTTGTCTAGAGCCTGCCCACGGGTAGTAGGGTGCCTTAAGTGCCTCCTTTTTACTTCCCCCTCCCTTTGGGGTCCAGGGCCCAGTATTCTACCCCCCCCCCCCATTTCTTTTGCTGGTGTCCTCAGTTAGAAAGGATGCCCTCAGGGAGGGCAGACTTGGGGAGGGTGGCACTAGCTGGGGAAGGAAGGCACTCAGAGGCAATAGGCTGCTTCTGGGTGGGAAAGGGTGGGGTGCAGCCATTGGACCCCAGCTCTGGCTGTGGCCTGCAGCACTGGCAATGTGGCAGTGTCCCCATTGCGATACGTAGGAGGGTGTCCCGGTGAGCTGGGGAAAGTCTGGGAAATCAGGGCCGTGGACGAAGGGAATGGGAAGGACGGCAGTTCCCTGGGGGAGAGAAGAAAGTATACTCAAGCTGGCTTTCTTCTTAGGGACGGGGGAAAGTAGAGGAAGGAGGCCCATTTACCCTGCGGGAACCTAGAGGGAGATGGAGCAACTTCAATTCTGTTATCTATAATATAAAGATTGTTGAACCGTAGCCAGTTTGGCTCAGTGGATAGATCATTGGCCTATGGACTTAAGGGTCCCGGGTTCAATTCCCAGAGCACATGCCCGGGTTGTGGGCTTGGTCCTCAGTGTGGGGCATACAGGAGGCAGCCAGTTAATGATTCTCTCTCATCATCGATGTTTCTATCTCTCTCTCTCTCTCTCTCTCCCTTCCCGTCTGAAATCAATTAAAAAGAAATGGTTGAGATCTAATCCTGTCTCTTCAAAGGCCCTACTCTCCTACTCAAGAGCAGTCTGTGGTCCTGTCTCTGCCATCAGACTATGGACCCTGCCTCTCCCCAAGCATTTGGCACGTGGCTCTGTCCACAGGGGCTCTCAGCCTAGCAAGCCCAGAACGCAGACTGCATTTGGGGGGCCCCATGGCCTTCTTTCCAGGCTCTCCCTTCTCCACTTGCCGGGGTGCTGGAAGCCCCAGCCACTGAGCCCACGCTCTGCCTGTGCGCCCCCGGGCCAGTAAAGGCCGCTTTCTTTCCAGGCGAACGCTCCAGCCTGGGGCCGCGTCAGCCCGAGGTTAAGTGCTTGTGTGGGATGAGCGGTCACTGGGCCAGGAAGGCCACTCACCTCTGCTTCCTAGAAACCTCGCCTCCCACCACCCATTTCTCACCACCTCGAGAAACTTCTCTCTGGGCAAGCTCTCCAAACTCCATCTCCCAGCTACCAGCGGGCAGAGATTAGACACGCATTCACCCTCAGCCTCCAAAGGTCATGTGGGGCTGCCTGGGATCCTGCTTCCTGGGGAACAGCACACTCAAGACCCAGAGGCAGAGGATATCCCAGAAGGGCGGGCATCCCTTCCTGGTTTGAGGCCAAACCAGAGTCAGGAAGGTTCTATGAGGGGTCCTGGCAGCCCTGAGCCCTGCCCCGTTTTCTGTGGATTTGTTTTTGGGGGGTGGGCTGCTCAGGCCAGTTTTGCTGCTGCTGCTTTTTCTTCTTTATTTAAAATATATTTTATTAATTTTTTACAGAGAGGAAGAGGGAGGGATAGAGAGTTAGAAACATCGATGAGAGAGAAACATCAACCAGCTGCCTCCTGCACACCCCCAACCGGGGATGTGCCCGCAACCAAGGTACATGCCCTTGACCGGAGTCAAACCCGGGACCTTTCAGTCCGCAGGCTGACGCTCTATGCACGGAGCCAAACCAGTTTCGGCTTCTTCTTCTTCTTCTTTTTAATCCTCACTCAAGGATATGCTTTTTATTGATTTTAGAGAGAGAAGAAAGGAGAGGGGAAGAGAGAGAGAAACATCAATGTGAGAGAGAAGCATTGATTGGTTGCCTCCCATATGGGTCCCAGCTGGGGGATTGAACCCACAACCCTTGGGTGCAGGGACTGACGCTGCAGCCCGCAGAGCCACACTGAAGCTGTGCTTTATGTCCCCACCTGCCCCCTCTTGGAGGAGACCTTTCTGCAGCTCCCCTCTGCTCCCTGTTTCCTTTGGTCTCTGGCTCTCACGCCATGCAGGGCGGTGGACAGACTAGAGAGAATGTGGCCTGGGCGCTTGGGGGGGAGCGGGATGTGGGGAGGAGATCAGAGAAAAAGCCAAACTAGCAGGGCAGCTCACCGCGCCCCCAGGGCATATCCGGAGGTCGGGGAATGGGGGGAATGGCGTTAGCGGCCTTGAGAAGTTGCTGGGACGAAAAGGGCTTCTGGACTTGATCAAATTCGTTCAGTAAACCCCACGGGCAACTTGGCAGCCCATTCATGCCCCAGTGAGAGGTGTGCCCGGTGCCCGGTGTGCAGGGTTCAGTGCAGTGTGGGCGGGGCGGAGAGGGCAGCTCAGGAGGTGGCAGAGCCCAGGCTATTTCCAGGATGTGAGGGTCAGAGAGGGCGCATCCCTCTAACCAGCCCAAAGCCCAGGTACTAAGGCTGATGGCCCAGACAGTGAGAGCGAGCTGGGGGTGGGGGCGGGCTGTCCAGGAGTTCCCGGAGTCAGGAATGTGCATAGGAAGGGGTGAGGGCAGGGCTGTTGCAAGAGAACCCAGGGTCCTGCTTCTCATTCCCTCTGGCTTCGAGGCTGAAGCCCCAGGAATGAGAACTGGAGCAGCAGGAGAGCCTCTGGGGTTACTGACTCTGCAGCTCCAGGCGGTGAGTCACTGCCCCCACCCCTCCCCCACCCCGGCGCTGGACCACCGCAGACACCCAGGCCCCGCAGCCAGGCCGCTGACGCAGCGCCACAGCCTCCCGCAGACGCTGCTTTTGAAGTCCAGTCGGTTCTCAGGCTCCCTGACTGACTCAGAGGGCAGACCCCTCCTCTGGTCTCTCTGGAAGCAGGTGGCAGAGTTGCCCTCCTTCAGGGGAGCGGAGAGGCGACAGGAACCCTCTCGGCATCTGTCAGGTCACCCAGTCTGTCCTGATTCTTAGATGGGACGCCTGGTAGCTTTCCTCCCAGGCTCATCACAAACCGCCACGGTCGCCCGCACCAGCCTGGGTGCCGCTCAGGCAAAGGTCTTCAGGAAAGAATGCAGCGCCCACAGCTCTGGCCGCCCGCCTCAAGGGCCCTCGGAAGTCCCCTCTCAGCTCTAACTCCAGCCCCTCCTGCTGTTTCCAAAGGCTATTTTGTTTGCTGTTGTTTGTCAAGAGAAGAGCTGGCCGTCAGCAGGGGCAGCTAATCCCTGGGAGGGGAGCCCAGCGAAGGGTCAGAGCCGGGAGGGGTGGCCACAAGGTTCTTCCGTGCCTCGCGGGAGGGAGGGGTTGGAGATGCATTCAGGATAAAAGGCCAGAGGCCGGGCAGCATTCCTGAGCCCTCTCGGCGGGGGGGCGGGGGGTGGAGGGGGCAGCACATCCCACCGAGAGGGAGGGGGGGAGAGGGAGGCTACCCTTCCTGTCCTTGCATGGAAGGATGGAGCAGTTTCCAGGGTCCCCAAAGCCTACCTCAGTTCTGGTCAAAGGAACAGACACACACCACACACATACCACACTACACACACACACACCACACATCACACACACACATCACACACCACACCACACCACACCACACCACACACACACCACACACACACACACACACACCACACACCACACACACACACACTACACACATACCACACACACCACACACACACACACCACACTACACACACACCACACACACCACACACACACACACCACACACACATACTACACACACCACACACACACACACCACACACACACCACACACACACCACACACACACACACACCACACACCACACACACACACACTACACACATACCACACACACCACACACACACACACCACACTACACACACACCACACACACCACACACACACACACCACACACACATACTACACACATACCACACACACACACACCACAC